TCTGGCATGGGCAAGGACGAGGGGATCCGTCCGTGAGGCTAAATGGTCTCCATGACGGGATGTCAGGGCTCTGAACACTGCTCCAACTGGCGACAAGGCCTCAACTCCGGACTGACCGCTTCCCGAACATCAAAACTGGTACTGACTGGCCATGTCCCACGGGATGGTCATGAAACGGAGCAATGGCGCCGACAGTTGCTCCATACTCGAGAGATTTCATGTACACCTAATTGGCGGTATGGGCCGGTGTTTGCCGCGCAGTCGTCGTCATGCCACCCAACAGGTACGACAGAGGTCATGCATCTGGTCGGGAGGTAAGGTAGACTGTCGCCATAATCCGAATCCGTATTCGATGGATAGTTTCAGCGAGGCGCAGCTGGCGATGCGTTGGTAAGGTTCGCGGAAATACCCCTGGTAAGCGTAGCGAGTGAGGGCTGCATGGGATGCCGCATTCGCCACGAGGCGTCGTCGACCATTGTGCTTCTCCGCACGAGATAGCAAACTCTGAGTTTCTGTACTGGGGACAGTAGCGACTCCCTCATGGCTTATATCCTCTTTCCTAAAGGGCCTTTTGCGGTCTCCACCGTCGGATCGAGACAGTCAAGGTTCCGAGATGCTGCCGGCAGCGATCAAAATTGGTTCAACGGCGTCGAGACCGCGAATGAGACACGCTGGACCCGCCTCCAGAAGTAGGTTTGCCACCAGTCGTATCATAGGTACGCCACACGTCATGGCTCGGAAGGCAGCAAGATTGCCCACGAAGAAACTCAAAAGTTCGTGAGATGCTGTCTTGGTAATGGGTGAATAAGCGATGGTGTTGAGGCTTGTTGTAAATCCGGGGCGTTAGCAATGCTATGTATGTACCTTCCCATGTCTATGCTCCGCTAGCGGCTGCGCCATTGGTAAGATTCGTGATGCTTGGCATGAGCTCCGCGGAGGACTGAAGCCAACGTCACTCGTTAGCATGAACATGGCGTTTTGGTGTCTCGAACATGCGATATGGCTTCATTGAGATGGATGTTGGGTCAAAAGGAAGCGGTTTCCTGCGATGACATCATGCAGCTTCATGCATGGTGTGGATAGAACTCTATCCCCCAATACAGAAGGCACAACTGCCCGTCCGATTTGTCGAAACAATGTAAGGCCATCCGTCTATGCTGATTGAGTCATGGATCGTGGAAAGGCAGATCAAAAACTAGATACGGCAATACCTCCGGCACATCATTGTGAGGTTCGTACGAGGTACAACGCGGGAAGAGTCAGTGCCCTGAGCTCAGGCTGCACATCTCAGGTAAGCTTCAGCGTACATCGTCAGACGGATTGTTTGTACATGGAATGATCATCATGGCCTTTGCATATCTTGTTTGAACGTCAGATGTTACCGACTATTCGACGACTGTATCGCCAGTCAGGTACGCACAGTACGGAGTCCATCTACCAACTTGCTTTGCTAAAACTGGGTCTTCCCTTGGTGCAATGAATCGAGAAAAGCATCATGGTATCCCCAAGACGCCCTGTTGTGCGATGAAGAGATTTGTTGACAAGTAATATGACTAGGACAGCACATCGCTGTACCGTGGATGCAAACGGAGACGTACCAGTTCAGACTCTGTCGGCAAATCAGCGCCCTTCCAAGGTTACACACCCAACCACCCAATGTACCGCTTACAATCGCTACAATCGAATTATCCCGAGACGAGTGCGATCGCAAGACGACTGCGAGAGCATGCTCACAGTTACCGATAGAGCTTCGAGACTACCAAGGTAGCTACCTAGGTATGCAGCAATCACGCCACCACATCATAAGTCTATTCGTCAAGAGAATAACAGCCGTCTCACCACCAGTAACTGGAACGGGGTAAGTATCCTGCGTAGAAAAAGTTGACATACATTTCTATTCGCGCGGTGGACGCATCACTCGGAGTCCGCGTTGGCCGAACGGAAGAGTACCCGTCTTCTTCAACTTCTCCCAAACACACAAAATATCTTTCACCACAATCACGGCATTCACTCCCGAAATCTGAAACAAGTAAGCGAAGTACCAACCTAATCTTTCTGACATCTCGCCTAGATCCGTCTACCCGTACAAGCTTTTGTTCGAAAGTAAATATGGAATGAAGATTGAGATCGTCAATTCTCAAACACTACTCATCCTTTCAAAGACGACCCATTCTCACGAGTCGATACGGCCAATTGATGTTGTATAGACTGGCACTACCTTCGCATCCTATCTGATCGATTGCTGTCACGAATGTGCCAGTGCTAAGATGTATCATGGTTCTCGGTAGAGCTCCTTCTCAACGACCAGAGTATACAACGATGATGTGCTGCTGCTGGTGTCTAAAGAAAGAATGTGAGGATGGAATTGCGCATCTACGCTCGCAGTTCCTGTCTTCGTTACGCTCCCTTCTCAGTGACTGGCTGAGAATCACAGCAAAGCTATCACGATCACACTGTATACCAAAGAACCATCTCAATGACCAGACCAAACTAGGACTACGCCCTAATAGCGAAGACAAGACGGAGGAGAAGCCACAAAGTAGCAGAGACAGCAAAGTCGTAGTGCTTAATCAGAAGTAAAGCAAGGGCGTAAGTCGCGAGACTCAGCCCTCGTGTCTTAGGAAGAGACTAACAATGCACAAGGACAAGAACCAATTCAAGGAGAACTTACCACGTCTCAGAGCGAGTCGCGCGTAACTCTTGTTATTCTCCCGCGTCCGCAGCATGTAGAGCAATCCAAAGAAGCGAAGCGTAGCTGCTTTAGTACAGGGTAGCCCAATAGAATGCTGCAAGAAGGCATGGAGAGACAATTGAGCAAATAGACGCGCGAACATCTTCTTAGCAATATCTGTGTAGCGCTTTTCGTCAATTTAATAGTGTCTTAGCAAGATTATGAAGCGAGAACGTGTCTTGGTTTGTTGTCAACTACAATTGAGCATTTTCGGGTAGGGCAAGGAAGATATAGAGACACCTATATATTTCGAGTAGAGGAATGCGCGTTGCTCTCTTGTAGGAACTACGCAATGTCTAGAGAGATGTTGTAGCAAAGTAAATGCAATATCACATTATTCGCGAGAGAGAGGATAAGTAAAAGTGCTAAAAACCATAGTAAGGCAGGTCGGAGCCTTATATCGCAGTATACACCCCCTATCTCTCTATCCGTTTATTAAAACTGCAAGGCTTCCTGTACTTCGCACTCCTTTTATCACGATCTACTCAAATCTCGCTATGTATTTCTATATATCTGTTCCTTCGCTGCATCAGCTATCACAGCTATCCCCTGCTTTCTCCGCTCCTCCCGAAGCCTCTATCACCCTCTCATTCTATTCTTCTTACTCTTCCCTCTTCTCCTTCTTCGATCTAAGCTTCTCAACACACATCCCCTCTAACTAGTCGTCCTACTACCTTATCTACACTCGCGACACTTAATAAGCGCACACGACCTAGTAGCCATTGCGCACTCCAATCTCGTTATGTCGCCTGCATAGCTTCGAGCTTAAGACAAGGATATAGTTCTGTGTTCTGCGACTGTCCAAGTAATGTAATAGAGAGCAAAAGTCCCTTTCACCCAACCTTAGAATGGTTCTGCGAGAACGCAGACCGAAACAAGCCCACTCACAATTTCCTTAACATCGAGGATCTAGACGAAGAGACGAGACACTTTCGCAGATACGAGAAGTCGCAGGTGGTGATTTACTGGGGAGTAGAAGACTAGGCATTACGCTAGAAGTAGGGTATTTATACCATAGATAACGGTAGTATTAACACGGAAAAGAATGACTATGCATGCGAGACGAGACGGTGTAGTTCTAGCAGCTGACGGCTGGGGAATAGCTTGGTGTTATAGGTTGAGCTGCACTTCGTAGGCTTTCTGAGGTCGTATGGGATGTTTTTCAGAACGTCTAGCTCGGCTGGGGATGTTGTATATGCTAGTTCTAAGATTACGTCAGTGTGAAAAAGAAGATCGATAATAGAGCCAGCACGTCCACGAGCAAAATGAAAAGTGTAGTCTATGCCGGGTGATAAAGACGGTAGAGTTGTCATAAGAGATGTGTAAGTTGCATCACGCCGCCCCGACAGTGAACACACTGGAAGCTGCTCTTCAATAGCCGCCTTCCTGAATTTTCTGGTGTATGTGACTTGGAATGCACTCAGGTCTAGTTGTGGAACTGGCGTGAGTGGAATAAAATGGATTCTGGCGGGTATTGATTGGCAGGTCTTAGCATAAGTAGCAGTTCAGTCCTGTCTGGCAGACCTAACGTACGGGGTAGTAAACAGGCTTGAGGGTCTAGGTGAACACCTGGGTGACGATGGCAAAGACGATACTCTCGTCCACTCGTCAAAGAGAGATTGAAGTACCTTGTTTATGAACTTTACGTACGAAGAAGCTCGCCCATACGCGTTGTACCCGTCACTGGAAACATTGAACAAAGGAATATGTGGTATTTTTGTCAAAGCAGTGTAAACCTTCGTAGTAATGCGTCGTTGTTTAAGAGTAGCTACCCAATAAGAAAGGGCTTCATGGAATAAATATACGTTCCACAGCCATCTAAAGATGCCAACCAAAAAACGACCTCAAGAACATGCCGCATGTCTATAAATCTCCTGAATGAGTCACCCTTATCAAGTGGCCCCATCCCAACCATGAAAAAAGTTTTCCCATTCCACACACGAAGCCTCCCCATCGACACGTACGGGCGCAGTGGCAACTGACATGACGCCAGAGAGAAATTGTGGGTCATTCGCTCGGTTACAAACCATGTGAAGCGCTCGCCGTTATACTAAAATGGCCCTGCGGGCCAATGCTCATCGGGGATGTACGTTCGCCGGTACGTTTGCCCATTCCAGGTAACCTATTCTCCTTTATAGCAATACGAATCTCGACTCGTTTGGTACCCAGGCGCGCTCTTGTGATACTCGCGTGCAGTATAGGCAGCCTCCAGTTGCGCCGTTATGAGATTCATTCGAATTCGCGATTCTTGATCAACGGGGACATACGTCTAGTATGCGTTTTGAGGCACCTGGTAGCCGCCCATCTGCGCTTGTTGGGCCTGCGCATGTGCCTGTGCTTGAGCCTGCATCTGCATCTCCTGCTGCCGTTGTGGGAGATCGTTGAACCATGGATGTGACAGCGCGTTAGCAGCAGATATGCGCATCTCTGGCCGCAGCTGCAGCATGCAGTTGAGTAGACTAAGCCCCACCTGGTCGACTTGCGGCAATATAAGGCGCAGGTCCTGGGTGTGGTATACGGGGAAGTTGTTCTTGTACTCTGGCAGCTGCGAGATGCCTGGCCATGATCGTTCAGACGGTGTGCCCATCAGCCTGAAGATCTTCTGCACTTGGTCTTCGTTGGTGGTTCCGGGGAACAGCGGCCGCCCCGTGTACATCTCGGCCATGATGCAGCCTGCTGACCATATATCGATGCTGGTGTTGTAGGTCCGGCTGCCGAGCAGCACATCGGGGGCGCGGTACCACAGGGTTACGACTTCGTTGGAGAAGGTGTTGACTGGGATGCCGAAGGCGCGAGCGAGACCGAAATCGGCCAGCTTCAACTGGCCACGGTTGTTGATCAGGAGGTTCTGGGGCTTCAGGTCGCGGTGGAGGACGCGGGCTTCGTGGCAGAAGGCGATTCCCTTGAGCAGCTGGTACATGAAGGACTTGATGGTGGCGGGGTCCAGAGCACCGCGGTCGCCGCGCGAGTCCATGTATCGCTTGAGGTCCTTATCCATGAATTCAAAGACGAGCATGAGCTTGTTCTCGGTATGTATGACGTCGTGCAGCAGGACGATGTTCTCGTGGCGTAGTTCCTTCATGAGGGAAATCTCGCGGATAGCCGTCGAGGGCGTGCCTTCCTCCGAGTCGAGGTGGATCTCCTTGAGGGCTACGAGTTCGCCCGTCTGGCGGTTTCTACCCTTGAAGACCTGGGCACGTTAGCACACAGTATAGCCGACATGGCGCTCCTGCCTACCGTGGCATAGGTGCCCTCGCCGAGCTTCTCGAGCTGCTGGAAGGAGCTGGGGTGTCGGCGGTTGTCCATGGTAGGCACGATGGGCTGTGTGTAGCCGTCGCCGAGGTTACGGACGCTGATGGACGAGTCGGTGCGGTGCGGGGCGACAAGCGTGCCGGCGTGGACGGGCTGGAGACTGCCCGGGGGCGCTCGCGAGGTGAACTTGGGGTCCCAGAGGATGGCCGAGGCGGTCGTGAGCTGGCTGGCGATGCGCAGAGGCGAGGGCGGCTTTGGCGGCTTGTCGGGGGCTGGGGCTGGTGACGCCGTCGTGGTGAGCGAGGGAGGTGATGATTAAATAAAAGGGTCCAGTCGCGAGAACAGCAAAGGCAGGGGATCTTCGTCGGCGCTTGGGTGGAGAATGACTGTTGCACGAGTCCGCGGGTGGGATGTGAGTGGGTTTGGTGGGGCGAGAGTAGCCGCCTGCCTACGCGCTATCCATCCTTTACCCTTCAAACTTCAGCCTTCAGCCACAGGCTTTGTTCTTCATCAAATAAGTGGCTATTTCTGGATGCAGTCATTAAACATACCCCTTTGGAGCATTTTAACTGGACGCTATAGCCTCGAGCCCGGAATGGCTAAAATCACGATAATAGTTGTCAGGAGTTGATTCAATATCCGAAGGAGGAGACGACGTATAGAGATCTTCCATGATCATAAACTCATCAAGCGTTTGGTTTGGACATATCCTTATTGCTTTTATTTGCATTAGATTCTTCATAGCTTGAGGGATGGTGCATAATGTTGAAAACAGTTGCGGTACAGGCGAAAATATGCACAGCCTGGGCCATCAAAACATGCCTACCGCTCAATGCACTACTCCTAACTAAACAGATACACCTGAGAAGGAAGATCCATAATCCGCCATAACCCCTTCACTTTTCTCAGCACCCTCAAGTCGAGATCCTGCTGCTCCTTCCCCTTCCCAGCCTTTCCATCATCAGCCTCTCTGTCAGTTTCAGCATCAGCTAAGTCAACGCCTGCTCTTTCCTTCCCCTTCCCCTTCCCCCTGTCCTCTATCGCACTTGCAACATCAGAGTCCACCACATCCGATGAGTCGTCCTCCGTCCCAGCAGATGTTCCTGCAGCACCGCCTCCATTTTCTTTCACTTCAACGACCCAGCACACACTCGTACTACGAAGCTTCGGGCGCGGAAAAACCTCCCATTCAGGATTATACGGCGTGGCCACTAGACAAGGCCCATCCACATCGAAGGCTGCCATGAGACTTCTTTGTCGTATCCTCTCTTTCCGATCAGACCACAGATCCCTGCGCAGAATCTCCGGCAATGTCACCATGGTGTGGCGGGTGCTCCCTTGCTTCCCTTTCCTAGCAAGCGTGCTCTCGACGCCGACGGTGAGGAACTGGCGTGCGAGTTGACGGCTTATGATTGAGCGTTGGGATGTCGGGATCGCGGATATGTGTTCGTTGTGCGCTGCTAGGTCTTCTTCGTACGTGGTGTTGGGGTGGGAGCCGGGAGGTGAGGTAAGACGGGCTGGTCGTTTGGGCGGCGTGTAGGTTCCACACCAGAGTCGGCCGTGCTGCATGATGCGGTCGATGAACCACAACTGTGCGAGGCTTGCCTCGAGAGTCTCGTCGAGCTGCAGCGTGGCAAAAGGCTGGTTCACAACGTCGGGGTGGGCAAACAGCGTATCGTCGACTTCGTCTGGTAGTTGGTGCTCCAAGCTGACTCCATCTGTGCGGACGAATTGCCATACGCTGTTGGCCAGACCCTTCATTAATTCTCCTTCGTCTTCAGATGCGGCCAGCATATACCTGATATACCGGAGAACGCCAAAGATGATCTGAGAGATTGTGTTGCGCATCGCGGGTACTTGCTTGACGCGTTTCGCGTCGAGTCTTCGTTTTACTTGTATGCCGGTATGGTCGAGGTTTCCCCATACAGATGATCCGTTTGGGATATGACCCCAGCGGCGGAAATCCTGACGAGCTTGTGTGGCTACATTTGGTTGGTTGAACCGCTGGATAAATGCCACTTGACGCGCACGAGCTTGTTCTACGGTCTCGTCTTTCTGGCGTTCAAAAAGTATGACCCAGCATTTGTAGGATTCCCATGTATCGGCCCACTCCGCCTGTATGGGTGTAAAGTCGATTTCGCGATCGACCGACCAAAGATACGAATGGAGAAGCATTCCGTCGACAGTGAATCTACCCTGTCTGCTTGTTTGGAGTCGTATGTTGATGTAGTCGCGAACTTCACAGTAATCGATTCGATTCGCCTCCAAGAAAATGTTCTGGAACAATGTCGAGCTCGATGCACTTCCAGCATAGGTCTCTTCTTGGTTCTCGTGGCCCTCGTGTAGATATGCCTCTGGTGCTAGCAAAGATAGGTCGCCATTACTCAACGTCAGTGCCAATATAGCTAGGCGCAGTGAACTGCAATTGGCGTTGACTTTCCTTGTATCTAATCGGAAGTCGTAATCGCACATGTTCGCTATGATAGCAAGTCTATCAGCATTGAAGTAACACTCTCGATGCTTCAGCAATGTCAGAGCTCCCGCAGCGTTGATCGTAGGACGCTTCCCGTAGAACCCCTCGGTATGAGCCTGTACGATCTGATTGATCGTGTTTGCCTTCTCGGTTCTCGGATGGAGGCGGTCTGCTACTTCAAGCACGGACCGAGCTCCCGGATAGACTTCTTCTGACCCGAGCCCAGACCGGGCAAGATAGTTTCCCATACGAACGAAGTCGCGTGTAAGCAGAGATTGCATCTGGTCGAGAATGCGCCAGAATCCACGCAAGTGCATGCAAATGAGCTCTGACTCCCAGATCCCACGATCATCGTCGAGTGAATGGTAAGGACGGAGATCCGATCCCTCCTCTCGCCCAAAGCGAAAGCTGGATTGGAAGGTAAGACCTGGACCGCGCCGGAAAGCCAGCATCAGTCCGTCTCCAGAACATATAGCCTCTTGGACGACCCACGCACGGGTGTACCAACGGTCTTGACTGGCTCTGTGAAGGAAGTCGAGGATTTGTTCGCAGAAGCGGCGGTCTATCATACTTGACTTCCGTTGGTCAGGATACAACAGAGTCTCGATAGCTGTAAGTTGCTCTTGCGATGTGATTTTGACGTCGAGCAAACCCGCCGTGACCACAGCTCTGTTGTACACAATATCCATCGACTGTATTCCAAGCTCCTGCTCGTCCCAGTCTTCTTTCGAGCTATTTTCAGTCGGCTGGGGAAGACATTCTTGATCGATCCATATCATGCGAAATCCATACGAATTGGCAAAGTCCACAGCACGATCTAGAACATCATCGAGAGCGCGACTGGCGCGGACGCGTCCGTTGAGATCACGGACCGTGTAGGTTCTCGGAGTCGGGTTCTCTCCACGAGGAGGCCAGCAGTATGACACCGCTACATAATGTATGCATATGTCGCACGAGCCGACGCCGTCCTCACTGAACCATTCCGGATGATCAACCACCGGATTGACCAGACGGAATTTTCTAGGCTTCCACCTGTGCGGGAACTCGGGATATGATGCGCAAACGCGGCATTTAGTCTGTGTGGATTTGTTGGCTTGTTCTGAGCGTTCAGCGACACTGGCTCCCTTTGCATTTGGAACCTCGCCACCTCCTTCTGGGTCTCGGGCTTTGACATTTCCAAGACTCAAGTCTAAAGCGTATTGTTCCTTCGCTTCTTCGTCGTCACTGTCGAAATCGTCAAGTTTGACATCGGAGTCATCATAGACCAAGAAGCGGATGCGCCTTGACGCCCAGTGTCGAGCATCAGCTCGCTCAAAGGTGTATTCGGAGATTTTGGCTATCTCCCCAAAACAATCCGACCCTATAGATGTCGCAGTGTTCATTAGATCGTTCTCCATGGTTCATGTTCCGTTGTGATACTCGGGTTTGCGGATGTCAATATTCTTCTCTTTGCTGTAAATCGTAGTATTTGCTCGCTCGTTTCTTGGACTGAAATCCAGAAAATTCGCCGCTGTTTCAGTAAGATGCTTAACATCGTAGTTAAAAAAACCCTCATTTCCAAAGAACCTTGGGCGCTATATACCTTCACCGGTGATAAGGCAGCAGCTGCGAGGCTGACAATGCCCACATGCGTCCCAGATAGGTTACGCGTGTGGCCGTACCAACGATCCAGGAGTCCTCGCTTATATCGGAAATAAGCACCGACATTTGTGCAGATAAACTGTAACTTGTTGCGGCATGTTGTGCGCTGTGGAGTCGAGCCGTCTTAGAAGAGGCTATGTAACACACACCGGTGCAAAGATGCGAAGAGAAAGATGCTCTGCGTTTTCCCAGAAGTGCTGGCTAGCCGGACGCGCAGATGTCATCACTCTCGGCATAGCATGCGCGTATTGCAGCGATGTGTTAGAAGCTGTGAGCTATAATCGTGTGTTGTCGTTTGTCGGTTTAGATTCGGCTGCGTGGTACGGACGCTCACGTATGCATTCGTGTGGCACAGTCGGCATTCGCGACTGCCCCACGTTTTCGTTTCGATCACATCACGCGCGCGACACCTGGCCACGGTATTTCGAATAGTCGTATAACATTCGTATTACCTATCCATTCCCGAGCGAAAAGAACGCTCGTCTCTTTTCCCTAGCTTCCTGCTCCGAAGACGTGCCTTCGTTCTTGGGCCGTCCGCGCTTGCCCTTCTTGGACACTGTTTTGGAAACACTAGACTGCTTCTCCAAAGCTGGCGGCGGGGGCGGCAGCGGCGTTGTAGACTTGACAACCTCCTTGATAGTCTGTTTCGAAAGGCAAAAGTCTATATGCGCGTTGAAGCTCGCGTCATCAGGCGCCTGCGGAATAGAGCAAATGGGACACTGCCACTGTGATTCGGCTGGCGGCTGTTCACCTTGCTGTTGCTCCTGTTCCTGAGACAGCTTCTCTAGTTCGTTCATTTCGTTGTTTCGTTCCTGTCGTGCGGCCTCTTCGAACTCTTCCTCGGGCCATGTCTCCCATGTGCCTTCGTCTTTCGAGGTGGGAGTCTTAGTGGTGGTGGTTGAAGATGTCTTAGCTGCGCGGCCGAAGAAGTCGATTCCAGGCTTCTTCGTGCTGATGATGTGCGTAGCTCGTAAACCCATTAAGCGTAGTTTCATGTTCGGTATCTCTTTCATGAGCTTCTCTAACATTGGTAGACTGTACTTGAAGAGGTCGTCTGCTTTGTGAATGGCAAAGGGTGGCGTCGTCTGTCGCGTGTGTACTTCGTAGGTGTGGAGCTTAATCTTGATGCAGAGGGTTCTTCCTTTGTACTCGGTGCGTTTGAGATCCCCTTCTAATTCCTCAGCGATATGCCGAAGCTTGTCACGCAGGGCATCGCGGCCTTGTAGCTCTCTAAAAGTAGTCTCAGTGCCGACGCTCTTGCGTTCATGATCTTCCGCTGGCTTAATGACGGTACGCCCTAGGCCTAGATAGCACTGCATCAAGAATTGAAATGCTTTCTGCCCAAATAGCTTTGCCATGTATGCTCGATGTGCATAAATGTCTCCGCACGTCTTGACGCCTATGGCATCCAGCTCTCGTTCGAAGACGCGACCAATACCATTGACCTTTCGCGTAGGAAGGGTCTTCATGAACTCCACGATTGTCTGCCTGTCGCTGGCAAGGAGGAACTGCCCGTTTGGCTTGTTCTGATTCGAGCAAATCTTGGCAAGTTTAGCATTGGCGGCGATGCCAGCGGAGACGGTGATCTTGGCTCTTTCAAAAACGTCTGCACGCATCTGGCTGACAGCTTCCTCAGGCGTCATGTGGTGCTCCTGGCAGTATTGTGTCAAATTAAGGTATGCCTCGTCGCAGCTCGCACTTTGGAAGTCCGGATCGTATAGCGCCAGTACTTCACGGACCTCTTCGGCCTTGGCCATGTATTTCGCAAAATTCATAGGAACGCAGATGAGCTGCGGACATAGCTTCATGGCGACGAACCCAGCCATACCAGAGCGACAGCCGAATTTGCGTGCATGGTAGTTGCAGGTAGTCAGCACGCCCTTGCCGACTGCGAACGGAACGTCTTTCAGTTCCGGGCGATCGAGCTCTTCAACTGCCGCATAGAAAGCATCGCAGTCGAGGTGTACGATGACCTGGCTCAGGTCCCTGCTCAGCTCCAGCTCAGCGATGTAGTCATCGGCTCTACGCTGATCGGTGGTCAAGTCGATCTTGTCCAGCTGGCGTCTCTTTTCCAGGATCTTGTTGATCTTCTCGGTGAGGTTCTTGTCCTTGACCTCCTCGTTGTTGAAGAACTTGGAGCCCTTGGATGCATTATAGATGACCTCTGAGACCTTCGATTGGTCTACGCTGTCTTGTCCGGCTTTGGTGAGCGACGGGCCGAGGAGGTGGTACTTTAGGGAGTCGTGCTCGGTGGACGTGGCTCGGGTAGGCTGCGGCCGCTCTGGTATACCTCGGGAGGTTTCATCTCCTTTGGCGGTGGTCATGGTGGTTGCGGTGGCCACTCGAGGCAGGTCGGACGCGTCGTGACTACGGTGACTCGGTGCATGCTGGGGCACGTGTACGCGACGGGGCTGCGCGCATGATGGTGGTGAATGGGCGGACCCTGCATCGCTCATGGTAAGTGGGGGGTCATTTTGTGAGGGCGACAGGAGGCCCCATAAAAACGCGAGATGAGGCCCTGGAGAGGTCATGACGCGCTTTCACGTCTACGCCCGGCTGGGCCTAGCGGCGTTTGAAAGCCTCCAGGATCACTCAGGGCCACCAAAGTTACTTCATCTCGCACCAACACAGACGCCTCCCCACCTGAACCCTTCTCCTGCTCCTGTCTGGCCCCCGACCATGGACTGGACGCCAACCATCTGCACTCCTCCACCGCTGGCATTGTAGAAGTGGGGCAATACACGTAGAGCGCCGTGCTGTATGACCTGCAGACATCCGACACGCTACTAGCGTCCATCAACACACCATCGTCAACACCGCCATTACCCCCCGAGCCGCGCCCATTGCCCCCCGGCAAGGCCATGATCTCCCTCCGCATCCGCAGTATAATACCACAACTATAGCCGCACTCACCAGAGGATGCCCATCGAACGAACCGACCGAAATAACCCACGGCCGCTGAAGCCGACGCTCGCCAGCACCCGAACCGCCGCGAAGACGCCCTTGACCCCGAGACTTGCCGTTGCGCCCACCGCCTCCTCCACCGTCAGCTCCTCGAGCACCCGCACCGCCCGCACCAGCAATGGCACCACGCCCAAGGTTGCGGCCCCGGCGCCCTCGCACAACGAGGTGACGCCCATCAAGCCCTTCCTGAGCAGCAATGTCACGCCTCGCTCTTCCACGAGGAAGTCACGGGTCGGCGTAGACAGCGCTTCGTCCACGCCCAGCGGCACCCCCTCTGTTACCCCGAGCAGCTCGCGACCAGGCTCCACGGTAGACCACCACACCAGGGACCAGACTGGCGGATTCAGTGGGCACAGCGCCGTGGGAAGGAGCGGTTCATCAGCGGTAGGGGGGCGACCGCGCAGCACACCGGGACCAAGCAGCAGCCATGTCACGCCGACCCCGAGGCCCTCGCTCTCCATGTACAACACCGCTCCGTCCGACGCTGGCAGGAAAGACGCTTCATCCCTGTTCTTCCATGCCAATGACGCACGTCCGCACGAACAACCAGCACCGGTACTGGCGCCCACGAAGAAGGCGCCCGCATTCTTCTACGCCGACGGAAGACAAGACGAGCCCCCTGCGAAGCCCACCGTACCATCGCCACCGCTGTCGTCCCTGGGGAGATCCCAGCCCGAGAGCAAGTTCTTCCATGCCGACTCCCAGCCCGAAAGCAAGTTCTTCCACGCCGACTCCCTTTCCGATAGAAAAGACCGCCAGCCGATTCTCACACCGCCGCCTCCTACATCTCCAGATCTGCTCCCGCCCTTGGAAGGCGGACAAGGGGGGTCGCTTCGCCCGCCTTCGCCTACAAAGGACTTTGCACATCTCTCATATCGTAAGGGAGCCTCTCAGGTCCGGCCAGCCCTCAGCAGAGGCAGTTCAGGAAACTCCGCTCTCGCCATGTTGACTGGATCGAACACGCCAGATGTGTCTGATGGCCCCAGACGGAGATCTAGCGTCGCCTCCACTATAAAACGAGGGCACGTCAAGAGCTCCAGTCTGTCGTCCATTGACTCTGTGACGAGTGCGAAGAAGGCACCGACTAATGAACCATCCGCCATGCAGCCAAGCCCACTTCAGACTGAGAATCGTGCCTCCTTCCCCAATGATGCAGCACCTACGCCCGCTCGTCGCTACACCGCGTTCTCCCCTGTCGGATCTCCAGTATCAGCAAGCCCAACAAGAGACGGCAAGAGGAACAGCGACACCAAGAGTGCACTCGAGATGATGAACGAACTTGCTGCCAATGCACGAAGGGAGCGTAAAGTGCTTGACCTCGAAATCAGCAACTCTTCGCTCCTCGCCATCAACCGGTCATTGGAGAAGGAGGTCCGAAAGCAAAAGGCGGAGCTCAGACGCTTCCGTCGCATGAGCCGAGCTGGGCATTTCTCTGCTGATATGGCTAGCTCGCCTCCTGAAACTTC